GGAAAACTAGTGAGACCCGGAAAAACGGCACTCCCTCGAGTTCCGGCCGTCACAGGTTTCCCTGTAGGACAAGCGTGTCAGTGATGTACAAATGCCCTGACATGGTGGCTGTGCCCATCCGGGTCTTGGGTCTTAGCAAACAATGCACCAGAAAGTTACAACCCATTCAATTGATTTATGTATCTAGATAAAAAGTCATATGAAAATTTTGAAGAATGTATGTACCAACATTCAGAGTAGACTAACAAACTTGTTGCTAAGATATGTGTTTCCAAGTTTTGTCCTTCTTTGCAGCCGATTTTAAATCGGTTTAAAGATCCACATATGGGGTGATTGAGTGGTCGGGATGCCACCAGACACCACATCATATTTTAGGGTTGGGGGAGTTACTGCTTCAAAAAGGAAAGAAAACACAAAGGAGGACAGTGAAGGAAGTCAAACAGTGGGGTCGCAGGTGTGTGACGAGTGTCTGACTTGCTGTTACTTAGGTTTTGCGTTGAGACTTTGAAGTGCGTGTGAGGAGGTCTGTCTTTAGCCTTAGGGCCAGGTGTTGAGTTGGCCGCCACACCTGTCTTGGCTGCAGAGGCCGCAGCACTTCGTTTGGGGGAGTCCTGTCACCTGCCACTCTGAGATTCTCTCCAAGAAACAGCGTGTATGGAGGCGGGGATTCAGAGCCGTAAGCTAATGCTGCCCATTTTCTTTCCATAATAACTGTGGAAATGTTCTTTTCCAATTAAACCAGCCACACGAACATGCAAGACAAAGCCAGTCAGAGCTCCCCTTTTACTGCTCCCCGAAAGTGACCTCCACGCTGTGCTCTGTGCCCCTGAAGATGTGGCCTGTTCATGGAAAGACACTTCCCAGTGTGTGAATCAGAAATTAGAGTTGAGATGCCGGGACATGATGTGATAACAATAAAAGCCAAGTCACGTGAAAGTCATGAAGAGCGAGCCAGCCACCCAGTTGCAGGGGATTCCATAGCAGGGTGACCCATGGAGACAAACGTGGCTCGGACCTGGCCCTCCCCTCCTCGTCACCGTTCAGGGCCACCGGCTCTGTCCCGACCTGGCACTCCCGCCCGCCTGCGCCTGCGTGCTGTGGTCCCACCTCCCCAAGGCCGTCCTCACCCCCCGCACGGCCTCCCCCTCCCACTGCTCTAACCTGTCAAGCTCCTCCCTGCTGCAGCACTTTGTCCAGGCTCCTGCCTCCATCTGGAACTTTCTTCACTGCTCTTCACACAGCCGGCTCCTCCTCACCCTCCCAGTCTCGGGTAAGGATCACACCCTCAA